GCTCATAAAATGCCTCTTTTTATAAATTCATTGCCTGTTGAGATTTTAAATATCTTGAGTCCACTCTAATACCAAATAGCCAGACATCCGGTTGACGAAACCTTTGTGGAGAAATCACCATAAAAATGAAAGTCCGCATCTATATAGCCGTGATTCGTTCGATCTTGCTATATGGCTCTGAGACATGGTCAATGAGAGTGGAGGATATTAAGAAGTTATCTGCCTTTGACCACTTTTATCTAAGGTACATTTTACAGGTCCGTCGAACCGATAAAATATCACATCCACATCCATAATCGCATCCACCTTTGTTCGAATACCATAATAATAATGCTATCACAGAGTGTCGTCTTTGCTGGTTAGGGCATATTCTCCGTTGTCCACCACAGGATTTGACGCAATTTCGTTACTTGCTAAACTGGACGCTGTGTCAAGAACATCAGACTTTTTCACCACAGAGTTACTTGAGGGATCGATTTACAGGTGGGCTCCCAGCAGCACCCAGATTTTTGATATGAAAAACTTACTGCTGTTGAAAAAAAAAGAAAATTAAATTTAAGAAAACAGACTTGAAAAAACAAAAAAACTTATCGTTCGAAGTGTCCGAGGACGAAGAATTGTCAGTAATAATCAATAATTTTTATTATTATTTTCTCATATTTGAATAGAACAGTTGGAAGAGTCAACCGCTTACAAAGTGATAGGACAAAAATTTGACCGGCAATATAGAGTCATTGAAGCATCACCAGATAATATACTTGAAAATGCGAATAGAGTCCTCACAACAATTCTTACTAACAATATGAAAGAAACCATGAATTGGTGTACGCCACAACTGCTGTAATTCCGGACATGCTGTTTCACAAAATCAAAAATAGCAATGCAGAAAGCGCTTGGAAAATGAGGCTGCCGAATAAATTTAGAGAACATCGCAGAAAAGTCAGCTAGCAAAACCACAGAAGAATGTGAAGATTGAAAATAGGATCATACGGATACTGGAAAATTACAAGAGCTACAACCCATTAGAAACTCTAGGGATTGCTAAAGGCTCAGAGTTCACGCCACTAGGATAAAAAGATATGTAAAGATAGAGGCTAAAATGATAAATATTCTTCAAAAAAACTATATACTCTAAGCTGCAGCTATATACTCAATATACTCTATGTGCAATATGGTGACAGCAGAAACCACCAACAGTACAATATTGGAAATTGTACGATACTGTTAAAAAATATAAGAGAAGATTCATCCAATGCAAAGTGGTTGTGCCACAGCAATTTCGTAAAGCAGGAATCATCAGATTTATTTGCTTCCAATTAAAAACATAAAAAGTTTATCAGTATCTCGCCCGAACATGATTCACAGTTACTGGCTAAATAAGCAAACAGTGGTTGATGAGCGCTTAGCAATACATATAAATTGACTGCTTAATTAATAGCAGGTTCTAAACCAGACTGGTTAGCACAGGAAAGGTATTGATCATGAAAGTAAGGAAATAACACCATCCGGCTGCCGACCAATAAACTATCTTCCCATTATGTGGATCAGTACGTACTATCATGCACCATAGTTATCAAGCTCTATATGAACCAGTATATGAGTGCAGTTCAAAAGGACATTGGGAACAATATTAAAGGCGCCACACTACACATACACCACACATAGAGAGGAATCGCTCGACAAATCTATATGAGTATAACTTAGATTGACTAGACAAATTTATGACTCAATACCGCACATATGGGTGTCTGTGAATCTGGCTCTGTACAAAGTCAGTAGGATATTAACAAAACAGCATAAGCGGCATGTATATCAAGGTTGTCCACGCATTGTCCCCCCTTATTCTTCTGCATAGGTCTAAGCCTTTGAGCCGGAGCCTCCTGAGCCAAATAATCAAAGGAAGTGGACAAGGATACAAATTCAACAGTAGAAACTACCACCAACCATCTCTACATGTATGACATCAAGTTATATGCCAAAACGAATGAGGCTCGTTCATTCATCTAGTCTAGAGCGAGGACATTGAGATGTCAATCGAAGAAATGTGGCCGGATAATAATAAAAAGAAGAATAACTGATAGGACGGATGCAGTGGAACTAATGCCAGCAGACCATATGGCGCATATGGAAATCTGAGAGGCAAGAAAAACAGCAATATCTCAATGCTACCAAAGAATGAGACAGGTTTTGAAGATATATCTCAATGGATAAAACAAAATCTATGCCATAAACTATATCTGTACCATGTACGCCTTGCCATGCCAGCTATGCAGATGGCACAATAAAACGGACAAAGGAAGACATGGACGCTGCCGGTGAAGACTCGAAAACTCTCTACAATGCACGGAAATTTTCACCCCAAGTCTGATACTCAAAAACTTCACGCCAGTTGGAAACAAGACAGATGAGGCTTGGTGAATGTGAAAACTTGAACGAAATACGAAATCCGAAGCATTCAGAAATACAGTGGCAAGATAGCATCAAAGGATGAACTGTTGAGAGAATGCCTGAAGCATCTAAAGACATTGGAAAAAGAGTAATAGAATAGAATAGATATTTAAATAGAAAGTACTAAAGCAAGCAAGACAAAATTCTCCATGATACCATTGGCAAATAGCTGAGGTGGTTAGTACCAAGAAATCCATGCATCATGCACTTGCATCAGCAACATCTGCTCGGTATATGGCTCTCCCAAGACTAAATGGAAGATTCCTCAAAAAATCGTAAAAAAATAATAAAGTGAAAGTCCTGTGGGACTTCCTCATCCAAATAAGCCAGCAAGCACTGGCCAATCAACCAGATACCGTGGTAATAGACAAGAATCAACACTGGTGATAGATATATCTCTTTTTATAAATTCATTGCCGATCGACGAAATGCCCAATTTAAAATACTTTAGGTCCACTCTAATACCAAATGGCTAGGATATTATAGCTCGGATCACGGTAGCTATAAATGCGTTCTAGAAATGCGTTGATGAAACCTTTATAGAGCCGTCGTGAAATTACCACTAAAGCAAAAGTCCGCATCTATATAGCCGAGATTCGTTCGATTTTGCTATATGGTTCTGAAACATGGCCAGTGAGAGTGGAGGATATTACCTGCCTTTGACTAGTCATAAGTTACATTCTACGGATCCATCGAGCGGATGAAATATCACATGATCACATCCACCTTCGTTGAGTTACCACTTGCATTAATAATATTATCAAAGAACGTCGTCCGATGAAGCATATCTCGTTACTTGCTAAACCCTGTAATAGATGGGATCAAAAGCGAGGTGGGCCAATCAACACCTGGACTGATACGGTCAGGAAATTTTGAACGTATAGGTGGACCAGCAATATATGGACTTAGATGATGGAAAAAAAATGGCTTCTATTACTGTCGCTGATGGCACCAGATCACGCCGTTTGGAAGCGTCTTATCCTTGTAACCGTTGGAGCCAGCATAACCAGTAATGGTGAGAACTGTTAGAAGAAGGTGATTGATATAGCAATACCAAGTGACAAGAATGTCAAGAAGAAGGAATATAAGAAGTTAGAGGAATACCATGGACTGAAAAGCTGGAACTAAGGAAGTCGTGGAAAATGAAGGTCAAAATAGTACAAGTGATAAATGAAGTCCTTGAGCTATGACTCTTATGACCTTTGAGCTGGAAAGATGGTCCCAGCAAATTCCAGAAAACAATATCAGAAATCTCTGCCTAGAAGTGCGCACTGCTAAGAACGGCTGAGATATGCGCAGAAACCTAAAGTTCCTGGTGAAAGACACGAGGCTGAGGACGATTCCTACATCCACAAGTGATATGACTTTTTCAAACATATGTTTCTTTTTGAAAGGCAAATAATTTAATAGCATGAAGTACAAATATATCTGAATAAGGTTGAAAAAAAACAGCTTAAACAGCTTTATTTTTCATTTTCTTGCATTTTACTCATGATTATTGTTCCTTTAAACTTCAACACTTGAACGTTACAAAATATTTCAAATGACGTTTTGGAAAAAGTCATGATCTATTTTGTGATATTGAGATGGATATTGACTTGTAAAATTAGCTTATCTAATTCCCTAAATTTATTTATCTTATTTCGTTTACTAAGACTCGAAAAAATCTTTAATCAGTGAAAACAATATTGAAGAGAATTCGCTGAGCTGGCATAATCAGCATAAATTTTTATCAAAAGAATTTTTCATTTTTACAGTGAATAATCAGATTAAAGCACAATAAATCACTTATCGGTAAATCAGAATGAGAATTCGTTAGGGAATTCATCGTTGTTTTTAATTTATTCGTATATTATTATGTTTTCTGGAATGAAATATTAATCAAAACGATTCGGCTACTCGCTTAATCTTATTTGTGATAGCTGCATTGCATGAATTTCATTTAATCATTTTCATTCAATAATAAAACGTCAAGGTCGGATATATTGGATGAAATACACTATTTATTAATGGGTTGAATATACAAAATTATTTTAAAGATGGGAGGAGGAAACGATTGGGAGTCTTATTGAAATAATTCTCCTCTGCAAGTTCGTTCAAGGTTGCATATGCAGAATTTTTAATATTTTATCCACATCGCGATATTGACTTTACATTTACATTTAGTAACCACGGTGCAGCAATTAAATAAACATTTGCTATTGTATGAACTATTGTATGAATAAAATGAAAGAGTTAGTACGAATCGCTGTTCATCGCTTTTTATTTGCTTAACCGACTTGAGGAGGTAGATGCATCATTTGGTTTTAATCTGACAGAGCTCAAAATGTGCTTTAAAAAAACAACTCGTTTATTATTCTCGTCGAATTAGATAATTTTGTATCAGATATTGTTGCAACCAGTTCCTTTTTACTTATATCTTTTCGACCAGTCTTAAAACCAAAATTGCTGAGGTATTCTAGTTATAATTTCAAATTGCCCTTGTTCCAAATTTCTCAGTAATACGTTAAATTGAAAAAATTTATAAATTAAAACGCTTTTTTTGCGAAATAATGCGGAATTTCGGGTAAAATCTCAAACATTCCATCTTAATGTAATAAACTAGAAAATAGGATTACAATTACAAATTTTTAACTAGTGATGATAAGAAACCAAAAAATTGCAAAATTATTGTTATTAACTATAACTTTTCAAAATGAAATGTTTAGCAAATAGTTCTCCATTGGTAATGCGCACCATTTGGTTAAGCTTGTCCAACTAACTGCAGAGAAGAGGCTTGAAGCAACTATTTGTCTGAGTTCAAATCAACAATTTTGATAAGTGTCACATGTGAAGCTGATAAATAATAATTTTTTGATTTTACTTAAAAAAGTTTTTCACTAAATTTGTTAGCTTTCGGTGAGAATTTCTTGCGAGGCAGTTCTATTCCAGTTATTTCAGTTTAGAACAGTGTATACGAGTGATTCTTGCTTGGTCAGCTGGTCTTATGTGCTCATTTGTGGATATAATCGTGAGTGTGGTAAACAAATGAGTGAGGACTTTGTTGTTTCAAAATTCATTCATTTCAGTGATGTACATTCTTCAAAAACTTGAAATTGGTTCTTTCATCATTTTACTATTAATTATTCTAAATTATTCAGTTCAATGTGATGATGACGAATGCAAATTTAAGATAAATATTACAGGTATTTCCGGTTGTCATTTTTGCAAATTATAAAATACTAAATAAAATATTAAAATAAATAAAAATTGGAAATTACGAGGAATGCAAAAAAAAGACTGAAGACAACGAATGAAAACCACAGAAAATTGAGAAAAATTAAACAAAATAATCAAAAACTTTGGTTTTAATATCGACTCTTATTGGATTTTCGCAGCAAATTTTTTTCAATAGTATTTTCTATTCAGTATTCATTGTTATTTAATAATTATTATGTAAGACTCATTCATTATTCACTAAATATAAAGACAAATGGTTCAATCACATTGGATAGCCGAATCTACTAAGTTTATCATCTCGAACACCGAGGAATAAAATTAAAAATCTCGGTGGGCCTATTTATATTCTATCTCTAGCTCGCTCTTCTGTAAAAATTTCTCATCCTATGCACAACCAGTGGTGTATGCCTAATGAGCGTTTACTTAATTTCATTTTCATTTGAAGCTTTGAAAAGTCATATTATGGGTTGAGTGTTGCTTCACCAAGTGATTTGTTGCTTAGAAAATCGAACCGATTAGTCAAATTCACATTAATATGCGTTAATTTGAAAATTTTTTGATCTATATATTGGTGAAACTTAATTGGTGAAATTTACTTCCATTTCTTTTCTTTTCGAATTCAGGTTATTTCTTTTTTCATTCTCGACTAAATTATTAATGTTTACTTCATAGATATCGAAGAACTGGCACATCACAAATATCAAGTTCTTGAGGACTGTTTATTTTACCGACTCAGTGAAGAAGCTGAAAAAATGCAGGGAAAAATGAATGCCTTAATGCTTCTACCACCAACGATTGCTGCACATGAAATATTAGATGTCGATATACTTGCCGTTTCACTGAAACTTTTGTGGATGGTAGGTTGTCTTGTTCTTGTTTATACATTTCGCCATTTTTCGCTTCCTTTGGAACTACTAAGGGATAAGGACGCTTGTAAAAAAAGAATTTAAAAAAAGATAAAACGAATTAGAAGATAAATAACAAAAAAAAACTTAAAAATAATGGATGAAACGATTGCAAATTAAAAATTAAAAATTGAGATTAATCTAAGCCAGTATCATACATAATATCACTTAATTTCTTCCTAGAACTGACCAAAAATAAAAGTTGAAACAAGTTGAAAAGTTTTTGCAATTTTCTAACATTTTATACGAATTATGCGAATAAAAAAAGATTTGTGCTGATGTTTCTTATTTAAGATTTACCAAAGCATACACCTTATATTCGAAATATTAATCAAAAGTATATTTGTGTTTTATTTCCAATGTTAACAGTTTGTAACAAGTTTAAAATATTTCTCGCAAAATCAAATTTCCTGTACCAAATCAATTAAATTTTTAGTCCACTAGGACGATTTGTTTTCTTCACTATTAAGTTTACATTTAGAAAGCTTATAGATAAACCATCGATAAATATTAACAATAAATATACCTTCTTATGAATTTTATATTTTTGCCCATTTAATAGAATTAAATTATATAAAATATTTTTTAAATTTGTCTTTAAATTGCTTCTATCAGTATTAAAAACCCTAATTTTACTATGGTGTAGATACGAAATATAAATTTTAGCCAAATTACTCACCCATATTTAATAAAATGACTGATTTATTGTATTTTGATATAATTGGTAAATTTAACGAAACGATTTTAACGAAAGAAATATACAAAAATTTTTTTATAATTTTTTAAAGTGGTCCATTATTTCACCAAATATTTCGAATCGACTTTTCAAAAATATTCATCGGAAAAAAGTTGAGGTGATTCTTCTGGTATTTAGTAAATAAATATTCTATCCTTCCAATTGTCGTCCTTCTGCGATCAATAACTTTTAAACTCTAAAAATATATGATCTAATCGAAAATTCGTTTTTCAGAACGAAATGTGGCAGGAAATGAATATAATTGGATTTCTTTCATTGGTAAGTGATTTTACTAGCTTGCAAATAAATCAACCTCCAATTAATCATTAAATACCAGTATTTTAATGCATTTATAGCAATGATCAACAACAGCATTATTAGTGATCAGCTGAAAACTCTGCATCTTTAAGTCAGTAAAATCTGATTTTAATTTTCCATGATGTCCAATTTTGCCTTTTATCACGTTTTGCTTGATGTTTCTTTCGTATTTTCTTTCAGTTTTTTTAGGCAGTCTTTTTCTTCATTAGAAAACTATAAATAATATTTGCAGATAATAATTTTTATTTTCAAAACAATTTTTATTTGTAATTCAAAATTTTGAAACTCTTTCTTCATTTTAGTCATGGAAAGATCGAAGAATGAAGTGGAACATAGAAGAGTGGAAAACAAATATTTTGAAAATCCGATCATTTGGTCAGTTATGGGTTCCAGATATAAACACAGATAAGTAAGTAAAGTTTGGCTAATATCTTTAGAAGTCCTGTATTTTATTTCTATGATTCTGTAATTTCTGTGAGTTCTAATGTTATTCCTGGCTAAGAAATTTTTAAGATTTTCGAAGATATTTATTTAGAATAACGAAAAATTTTTTGAGGCAGGTTTTTTAGATTTGAAATATGAAAAAATACACTGGAATTATAAAAAAATCTCAGTCGAATCGATAAGCAATTATTCAAAAATTTTTTTCTTCTTTTTATAAATTTTCTTGAGAAGACTTTATCTTAGAAACAAATTTTTATAAATTTCGTAATTTGTCGCTAGAATTACCTTAAGCAATAATTTAAAAATTTTCTAGACTGGAACTTCTCCGACGGGAATTCAAGAAAACAGTCATTAACCTTGTCCTTTCCAGAACGTTTCATTCGCTGAATTGTCTTTTTATGAATAACTATCATTTTATCATAATTTAAATCTCGGAAAGACCAAGAATAATTTAAATTGCAGAATAATTTATTTATTATGAGGAAAAAACCAAATCTCAGAAAATTCAGAATTCTCTTCAAGATATAAACTATCCATATCGAGCATTTTTCCAAGACAGATAATATAGTGGCAGAAAACCATCCCATTTAAATTTTAAAGTTTTTAAGCCTTTTAGATTTCAAATGGAAGCACAAGCTGGCGATCATCTGCAATACCAGAATATCGTTGCTAAAAGCAATGGGAACATAACAGCTAGACTGGAATTTAGGATCATAGCGCACTGTGACATTGATTACCGCCATTTTCCAGACGTAAATTTTTAATTTTCAGCTATTATTTGCGAAATCTTATTTCAGATATTTCAGATATTTGCTCCTTAATAAATTATTAGTGAAACAAAATTTTTTAGATGCACAACCTGTGAAAAAATAATTATGACCGAAATTATAGCCATAATTAAGCTGAATTGTGCATTAAGTTGACGAAAATTAAAATTAATTGACTTCATTGAATAACTCTTGGTGACTCTTGGTGACTGAGTGGTTTGTTACTTTGATTAAAGTCTAACCCCTGTAGGTTCGATTCCTATCCCATGAAGAGAACAAACTTTAAAATATGGCTGATGCTGGCGACTCGCCTGTACCTGCAAGCGATTTTGCGAATAATTTTCACCGTAATAGCCAATAGAGTTAGCCAAACAGAAATGTTGTGTTGAACAACACTACCTGATTTAAACATTTAAATAAGGTTTTTTTCTAAAATATTTTTAATTTAATTACAGTTCAGTTAATATAGATTAGGAAGATATTAAAAATTACCTTCTGTTCTGACACATTTTTGGTCTCCGATTTCGGCTTTTATCAAAAATTTGCAACCGTAGAAAGTTTCGAAAAAAAATACTAGGTAATTGTTGAATTAATTTCCATTAATTGGCAAAAAATGCAGTAAATTTCAACGCTTTATTGATATACAAAATTTCAGTAAAACTCAATTAAAAAATGACATAAATTTGGACAAACAAACCTTTCAACGGCACTAATGTTGTATAAGGGCTTGGAACTTTCCTAATATAATAATATAGTAATATACTATTAGATGTTTATCATTTTTGATTAGATTTGCATCACTGTTCATAAAATTAGACAAGTTTATCAGGTGGATGTTTGGGAATAAAAGGATTATAATAAAAAGAGAATAGAAGGAAATAAATATTCTGATCTCTAGTATCCCTCTGAATAAGTTGGCATGGGCTGACAAATAAGTTATTGGAATTCGCATATCACAAGGATTTCTTTCGATGAGATCAGTACTCTTTTGTTTTTTATTTTCTGCTGAAAATCCGGAAAGCCAAGTGCCATTTTATTAACTATTTTCAATATCGACTCTTTCAGACATTAGGCCAAAAATTCGATTGCCTTTTCCAGTTATTAAAATTTTCCAACGTAACCTGCAGTGGATAGTAAGGCTAGTTCGACACTCAATTCTCACTCAAAATGATCCATTGTTGTGGAATTAAGTGGAGCTTACTCCATAATTAAACTGTTAAATCTGTTAGTTAACGGTCATTGTTTCTTTTGCAATAACTGAAAATTTGTTGATGCCAAGAATGTTTTGCTGCTCAACCGTTGAAGATTCATTGAATATTAAAATATATTTTCTCTGAAATATATTTGAAAAAAAATTGGTGTGGCTGGTACTCGACATTATACTAATGAACAACCTAAAACATCTGCAACTTGTGGAAGTCTAAAAAGAGCGATGCTTAAGTAAGAAAGTACTGTGCCAGAAAAAAAATGTTGATTTTTCTGAAATCAAATAAAATCTTATTTAAACTTTGTTTTTGCTTGATATATCCAATCCAGCAATGAAATTTCTATAAAATCTTATTTTCTACTTGTTCCATTCTTAATAAAACTCTTGGGTTTCAGTTTTATTCGTATTTTTCGCACTCTTCAGCTTCGGCATAGGCAAGAACTGTAAAATTTATCTTTCGGTTCACCTCTAATTACCAATAATAACCAAATTTAGATAAATCGTAAAAAGAACTAATCTTACTTGTAAGATCACTGCTCTGTGTCCACAAAAAAATTTCATAAATTTGCCAGATATTTTTATTTTTATTTCCAAATTGCGAAATGGCTCATTTTGTTTCAAACCACATTTTGATAAAATAATTTTCAGGACAAGAAGTATTGCTGTTTTACGTTGAAATCAACTCTGTATCCACATTACATAAAATATTTTCTCGCACAAGGAGGTTCTTTTAAAATTGTCAACCATCAACCAGACAGTTTTTAATTTTGTTAAAGAATAGAGAATCAGTGTGAAAGAAAGAGGCAAAATTAAAAAGTAAACAAAAAAAGCAGTAGTAAAGCAGTAAAAGTAGTGATCAAGGTAAATAACTGTTTAGAAAGCCTAGGCCTAAACATCCACTTCGCTGGCTAATGATTTTTGCAAATGACAAATTAAAAGTTTGTTCAGCTGTTAATGTGATAAAAATATCGAGAGTGCAGTGGGATTTGAAGGAGGAAATAATTCTACTATAGTAGAGTTGTCACAGAAGGTACGATATGCTAATGGCTTTAATAATAAGATCAGTGGCTTAATGGGGTATAAAATCACCATAGTTATTTTAACTAATTTGTAAAAAAAATTGCCTTTGCAGAAGATTGCTAAAATTTTTTAAAGCCTATTTTTAATTCCAAACAAATAAAAATTTTCTGCTAGAAAAAAGCCAAAGCCATATGATTGCTCAGCTTTTCTACACCTAATAAGTAACTAACTAATTTTGCATAGAGTTAATGTAAAAAATAATACAGAAATAATGAAAAAATAAGGGAAAAAGCACAAAATAACAAAAGGAACATTAATTAAAGTTGAACAAATCTTTTCAGCCAGTTTTTATTTCACTGGACTGGTTCAATTATCAGTTCAATTTACAATTTGCAGTAGAATTACGCTTCATTTTGGGTCTATTAGGTCCCAGAAATTTTAAGAACAATAGCAGTTTTATTTTTTTTCTTGTTTACCAAAACTCATATCTTGTAACCTTTTTTCTTCAGCGACACTATTTGCTACATAAAATTATACCGAAACGTGCTAAATTTGAAAGATTTCAGATGTTATAGATTTTACCAATCTTCAAACATCTTGGCAAATTAATTCTGCTAATATCAATCGAATCGAAGATCCAGAAGGCAAAAGGCACAGAAATATATTACTTAAAATTCAGATAAAATAAAATATTTTATTCATATTTCACTCTTTAAATACAGTTATCTCAACTTAAATTCGCAAGCATCTCATTTCCTTTATCCATCGAAATAAAAACTTGCAGTCTTGTTTGCTTCGATTGAAACTAATACTTTATAGATGTTTCAGCATTCTCCTCAAAAATGGGATTGCCATTTTTTAATATACTGCTATATTCTTTATTTACTATACTTCTACTTTATATAACCTTGGGAATCCACTTAAATTTGTAAAATACTGCTTCTCTAAAATATTGAACATTTATAAATTACAGCATTTTTTCTTCTTTCAAATTTAAATTTATTGTAGATTTCAAGCCCTCAGAATTTGCATTGCTATTCATAGACGGTCTACAACACTTCGTATCGAATTAACTATTCCATTGATGATTTCTTCTCTTTTTGTCATCATAGCACCGTTCTTCGGAGCATTCAAAGATCAGGTAATAAATTTTGAATTAATAAATTGAATATTTACCAACCACTTGCCAAAATGATTTGAAAATCATTATTCCATCTAACTCATAAAAACAAAGTTTTGTTTACCTACATATAGATATATAGATACATATAGATAAAATACAATGATACGATTATGATACAATTAATATAGATATATAGATACATATAGATAAAATTAATTTTAACTGTTGACAAAGTCTCTAACGAAACATGATATGATCATAATCGGAGGAGACTGGAATGCTCGTGTAGGCCATGATACCGCCGAGATGGCCTCAACAATTGGCAAATATGGCATCGGAGATCGGTGTGTCAATGGGGAACGTCTTCTTCGCTGTGCCAAAAAGCATAAACTTTTTGTTACTAATACTTGCTTCCAGCATCGTAGAAAACATCTAATCACGTGGAACTCCCGGATAACCAACACTTCAACCAGATTGATTATATCAGTCGCCGCTGGAAGAGTTGCGTACTTGATAGTCGTTCCTATCGCGGTACTGAAACAGGCAATATTCATGGATCTGACCATGTTATAGTTCTAGTCAAGATCGGCATAAAATTGATAACTCTTAGAAAACAGCATCCCCCAAGATCCTTCAACTATCTCAAATTAAAAAATTCAGGAACAATGAACGCATTTCAAACCGAATTATTGAAGCATCTCAATGATTCAAATATCAATGACTTTTCTGGAATGCCAAATGAATACTGGTCCAAACTAAAGGAGTGTCTCCGAAAATCAGTCATTTCCACGCTAGGACATAGTAGTAGAAGGTGTGCTAGTTGGGTATCGGAGGCAACTGTCCAACTGTCTGAAAAAGCTGCATGAATTTCAAGCGATCCTGACTACTTCGAAGAATTGCAACGAAAGCAGCAAGGCGGGACAGGTATCACTACTGGAGTGACATGGCCTTGAGAATGGAGACGGCTGCTCCTCTAGGTTATAATAAGAAACTGTTCCGCCTTCTTCATAAAGCAACTATGACTCGGGGAATGAAATGGTAAGAGACAGCAGTGGCGTACTGATCAAAATTATCAAGGAACGCCTTATAAGATAGAAAGAATTCTTTGAGGCCAAATTTAACCATGAAGCGCCATCTGTTGTCCCTGATATAAATACATTTGCCGAAGCATACGCTCGCAATTGCGAGCCTCCAACAGAAGAAATAATCCATAAATTTAAGGCCAATAAAATTCCAGGAGAAGATGGTCTTCGAGCTGAGCTTTTCAAATCATCGTCCTTTATAACTCACCTTCTATAAATATACTCTTTAGTATGGAAGAAAAAATATTTCCAGATGATTGGGGCAAAGCAATTCTGCTCCCAATTCTCAAGAAAGGTGATAGGACATACTGCGACAATTATCAAGGAATCAGCCTATTAGACGTCTCAGCAAAAATTTTTGCTTTCTTTTTACTCAACAGACTTATGGAAGTACGGGACAGCAGGAGATGCGCCCTAATCAAGCTGGATTCAGACCAGGGCGCGGTTGTGCTGACCAGATATTTACGTTAAGAAGGGTTATCACTTCAGATATTTGCAACTCACTGTCACGTGTTTCATCAACTTTGCGGCTGCCTTTGATTCAATTGATAGAACGGCTCTCTGG